AGAAGGGGAAGGATAGGTGCAAGCTTAATTGATAACAGTTTGGAAATAGTCATGTAAATGAGGTTGTAGCATGAAATAGGCCTAAAATCATTAACTGATGAAGGGTTAGGAGATTTTTCCTATTGAAACATAATATATAACAAAAAAAAGTCACCACTCTCTTATCATTCTGACATGATATTAATATTTAACTCTATCAAGGTAGATAACTTTTTTCATTTCTTTTTTATTTTTTAAATGACCAACCAAATGAAAAGATAAGTGAACATTTTAGTTGGTTATTTAAAAAGCTAAGAAAATTTGAAGATAAAATGAGGTGGTTTACTTCTTCTTCTTCTTCTTTCCCTTTTTTTCCTTTTTTGGTTTTGTTTTTGTTTGTTTAGTTGCATTAAGATTTATTGTAATTATAAATTTATAAAATAATTATTGTGGTAAACTTATGTTACATCAATTTGCAAGTAACATTTTTTAATCACATGCACTTTTATTAGTTTACAGTATGTATGAATTCGTTACTTACTTGGATCTTTTCGGATGCATTGAACGGTCCGTTAATCATCTTATAGGTGATGAGGTCCACTGGCTAAACATCCCCACGCCGACAAAGGAATTCAAATTCGTGTGTGTGTGTGTGTGTGTGAGTACGCGTAAACGATAAAATAATCAATAAAGTGGGGGACAAGAAACAACCTTTAGAGTGTCTCGTCAACGGGCAAGGCTGGTATTTAGTACTATTAATAAAGATTAAGCATAAATAAACCTATTAATTATTCAAAACAATAACTAGCAAATTTAACTTGTATGTTATATATGTATAGACATGTTAGTGTTCTGTTTGGTAGCAGCATTTTTCTATCGTTCATGTGACAGTGCATCTTTTGACTGGTGGTCTCCATTTGAAATTAAAATCGAAGTGTATTTACATAATTAATCCTGAAATTTGTTGGTTTATGTCTGAATTGAGTACACAACAAATTGAACAATCAATGTCGGAGATATAAGATTAATAAAGAGAACAACGGTACATAAAACACAATAAGGAATCACCTGAAAGGTCTACTTTATATATATATATAAAGAGTAGTTTTAAAAGTATATTAGGACAATATATGTTTAATTAATTATATACATTATGGTATCAACCAAAAACAGAATAGCGATTTTTTTTATATATATTTTGGAATGAATATAATAGATTTTGCTGTATTTTTGGGCCCAAGAGAGAATGGATATCGTCATTTCCAAGTTTTATGGGATGCTACGCTAATAATTTTATACATTGTGCATCTAAAGATGTTAGCCAGGGATGATGACTCCATCACTTTATATATATATATATATATATATATAGAGAGAGAGAGAGAGAGAGAGAGAGAGAGAGAGAGGTTTTGGACATTGGAGACAGAAAATAGTAAGGTTCATATGGGTTGTGTTTATTTTTGGTCCCATAGATTGCTTATGCATTGCAGACCACCATGGAAATTGAGATTTTTTAGAGGTGGGACAACTAACATCTATGATGTCCTGCAAAGCTTCCTAATTTTAATTTGTTAATTTCCAAATTTCGCTGTAACTTTTGAGCAAAAAAGATCAAGTTTCACAGGCGAAAAACACGAATTTCAAAGACGTGCTTGCCATGAAAGAGAGTATAGGGCATGGAGGAATGGGTCATAGAGAGAAACCAACAACATGCAGGCCATCAATGCTTCACAAGTACTGAACAATGGAAACTATTTTCATTTTTCAGTACCAGCTACCAAATTAAGTTTCACAGTGCTAATAGAGACCATGAATTCATTCATGACCAATTTCCAGATAGGAAACACCTCATTTGACACCTATGACTGGCCCCCCACCACTCCTAGTGTCCTCAATCCATATAGCCATTATAGTTATATATATAAAATCATATCAAATGTGTCCCTCCATCACAACAAGTGCCAACCCATACCATTTTTCTTTCGAGGCAAAATTCAAAGGACAACTTTTTTATTTTTATTTTTATTTTTTTCTATTGATTTGATTATTGAATCCCAATATGGGTTATGATATCTTGATGCTCCAATCAAGACCGTGTGTCCGTGATGCAATGGGGCATAGGGGGCATGGTCCATGGACCATATGTCCTACTAATTATTGGAACTTTAAATTGTGTGTTTGAGTCTAAGCCTTGAGATTTTCCTTTTAAAATTTGATTGTGACTCGAAAATGCTAATAAAAAGGGTCAAGAAAACAATAGTTTAGAGGTGCAAAGACTCAAAGCTGTACTCCCAAATTTAAAATAGTTTATTTTTAAAATTTGATTCGTGCGTGTGCTTGCATAAAATGCAAAAAACACTCTTCAAGTTTATCAAATTTACAGATGACTCCCTTGAATTATCATTGTAAAAATTTACAATTTATTCCTTGTCACATATTTTCCATTAGAAAAAAATGGCATATGCACCTCATAGGACGTGTTAATGTTGTATTTTGTTCAATATATTCTTTTTAGTAGATTAAATTATTCCTAGAAAACAAAAAAATTACGGAGGGATCTACTTTTGGGACTTGAATAAGAAAAGTCTCACACAGACACACACACACACACACAGCCTTACTCAAAGATTGAGAAAGGCAAAAATAAAACAAAACTAGCCGCATAAAAAAGAGGAAGAAGCAACAAAATGAGACGCAGAAACACAGAGAAAGAAGCACCTGGGAAAGCTTTTTGCATGCATAACAGTCGTGGTGTAAGAGAGGACAGACCTACTAATGATCTGTCTTCATCTCCTCAATTTTTACCAACATATCCCTTTCAGTAATATCATTTTTTTTTCCTTCTCTTTCTGGCGGTGAATCAGTGATCAAGGTGTAGTAAAATGTGTGTGTGACTGTGTGTGTGTGTGTGTGTGTGTGTGTAAAGTTGTAAAAGAGAGTCTATAATGCGTTTTCACCTCATAATCCAAAATTGGCACAGTGGTCCTCTTCTGCTTTTCCCAAGTACACCATAAAAAGAAGATAAGCATATGTCAAGAACTCAGTTCTATGTTATCATGAAAAATGGCACAACCACCAAAATTTACATTTGTACAAACTCAAATGTAAATTGAGGTTAGCCTCATGTGATTGCACAAATTTCTGGGTTGTCCTCCAATGTAGCATAGATATGTGAAATTGAGCATAGGATCATCCAACACGGGCTTATCTCTCCTTGGATCTTGTCTAAAGTAATTTCACAATCATAAGGTCCTGACTATGCCCAAAATTTTGCAGCTCAAGGATTTGGATACAAGCTCAAACATCAAGAATGTAGTACAATCACACATAGATAAGATAAAGTGTGTATTCTACATGAGGGAGAAAACATACTTTTTTTTACTTACATTGACAGCTTGATGACAAAGGCCTTGTTTGCTATGCATTCTATTTTTGCTGTTTTTGTTTTTAGACTGCTACAATGTCGATTTTAGTAACAAAAGCATGTTTGGTGCGACCTTAAAACACTTCGTGAACAGTGACCCAATACCAAAATACCAAAAAAAAATTTATTTTTTTATTTTAACAACTATTCATAGCCCAAAACCATAACAGTAGCACAATACGGGCCAAAAACAAAACGTCTAAAGTTCCCAAACGTGCTTTCGATTTTTTTTCAAAACACTCTTACAGCAAAAACACTGTTTTTGTTTTAGCCAAAAACAAAATATCTAAAACAAATCGCATGTCAAACGTGCCTTAAGCTTTTAGAACCCAATCTTGACACTGGATAAATAAAATAACATGAGACAAGGTTATTAAAAATGACTTTAAAAAACTATGAGAAGTAATTATTAGGAAATAAAAAACAACAATCTCATGCATTGGAAAAGTTGAACATCCCGGGGACCAGCCATTAAGACACTATTAGAGATGCTCAAAGAAAGGATCATAAATTCAACGTCAGTGTCCTCAGTATTGGGCCATGGCCATGGACTAATGCTTCTGCCTATCAAGCAAGATATAAATCATACAATTAACAAAAATCAAAGACAAGGGACCATTTTCAGGTTCTGCATATAACAACGTGATGGCAATTAAAAAAATGCAGAGTGAACAATGAACATGTACAGTATTAAAAGAAGGTTCACATTAGAATATGACATACAAATACAAATGATGATATGCATATATAATTGAGGGAATACGAGTTTAAAGAAGTTTCAAGCCACAATCAGACACCTTATGAGGTCCTTTTGGTCCCCTAAAGCAACCAGGTGACCAACCCACGTGTCCACCCAATTCATGTAAGGAGGTATCAAATTCTTCCTTTGTAGCGTGTTTCAGTTTTCCACCATCATAACCATCACTGTGCAAGCTAACCAAAGTGAATTATTCGAACTTCGTCAACTTGAATATACATGTATCAATCAATCAAAACATAGCCTTATCACCAAGCTTATCTATCGCTAACTGATTGAAACAAACATGCCACAAATGTTTGGGCCTACTACTTTGAATGATATTAGTCTAGATTCCATTATAGAATTTACAAACAAACATCAAAAAACATGAAACATACGTATTTCAGAATGAGTGATTTTTTTTTTCCTACCCTTTTTTAAGTGCTACCATCGCTTCCTCTAAACAATATGCAGGATGAGATAAATCAAAAAATGAATATAACTTTCTTGTAGTTCAAATATATCCACCATTTTCTTACTGACGATTTTTCTACTAAAACATCATGAGACAAGACAATTGGAGGGAAACAAAGGAAATCATGCCCCGTGAAACAAAGCATTTTTTGGATCAACCACCCTCCCTTGGCACAAAAATCTATGAAATTTCGTCGGCATAAAACCTTTAAAATTATGTTGTGTGTGTGGTGATCTCAACACCCACCCACCCAATATACAAATTCTGGCACAATTTCAACAGCCACATTGGAAGAAAATACTTGGGTTGAAATGCTTGAACCCGTAGAAAATGGATCAGAAACCTGATCAGCCAAGACCAGTCAAGCCAAACAATAAGACTACTACAGCCAAATGCACCAACGTTATTCAGAAAAGCTGAGTCCAAAAACAAATCCAAGAAGGGCTATATAATACATCCTCCAGAGAAAATGAGAAATTCCTACAAGATTATCTCAACAAGTCCTCTGTGCATAAATTTAATGTTTCTATGCTAGAAAAGAAACAAAGGTCTCAATTGTTGAGGTTCATCAAGTTCACTACTCATAGCAATGGGGCATAAAAATGAAAGAAGATTCCAGTCCACCAATGTATTTGTCAAGCTACAACATGCCGACAGAAATGTATTGTCATCTGCCAGTGCTAATGAGACTCCACAAGTACATATAATGGCTTGCCTTTCAATCGCTCATGGCCCTGCAATGTCCAAGAAAGTTCAGAGACTAAAAAGCACAGAAAAAATCCGTCATCAGTGGCTAATCAAGTTTCGGATAATTTCTACTCTGCAATAACACGTGTTAGAGCAGAATGCAAACCAAATTCAATCTGCAGATTCTGAAAAAGTGAGTGGATCCTAAAGTTGTTCTGCTCTTTTTATCAAGTTGACCTGGCATTCCTTTTGATTCCATATCCAAGGCTTAATTTCTATAGTATCAGAACTTTGAAGAAAAATAGTTTTCAAACAAAAATGAGGGTAAGCACGTGGGATCTCAGACTTGGGCCATCATCAGTGTTTAGCATATTTAACAGTAAAGCTTTCATAATGGAAAAACAATAATATGTGAATCATTATCATCATCATCTTTGCCTTTATCCCATATGAATGGGGTCAACCACATGAATTCTCTCTTAACTTTTCTATTACATGCCAATTCAACTTCTATATTTAACTTTTTAAAATCATTTTTAATAGCCTCATCCCATGTTATTTTTGGCTGCCCTCTTTGTCTCTTATCTATTATAACTCGTCTGACCAGCGCATCACTAGATCTCCAATGTATATGTCTAAACTATCTAAGTCAAATCTCTCCAATTTTCTTACCAATGGGTGTGACGCCTAATTTTCTCACTTTCATTAGTGACCCTATCTCTTCGAGCCACTCCACTCATCCATTTTCAGATTCTCATTTATGCTACACGAAGGCTGTGTTCTTGTTTATTTTCTAGGGCCCGACAATCCACTCCATACAACATAGTTGGTCTAATAATGGTCCTATAGAATTTTCCTTTTAGCAGCATGCGTTATTCTTTTATCACATAAAATCCCACTAGCTTGCCTCTATTTTGTTCAACCCGCTCCAATTCTACTAGTTATATCACTAGCTTCCAGCCTTCTTTATTATCGATCCTAAATACCGAAAGTGGTTGTTTTGAGTAATCCTTTGTTTTGATGTGAATGAGAATGTGTTATTCACAAAAACCCTTCTTTATTTTTTATTTTTTATTTCTTTTTTACAAAAACCATTATTTCGTGATGCATCTCTCACCAGAGGGTGAGGGGAAAAAAGAAGAAGAAAGGATCAACAAAAGCATTACAATCTTTTATTTATCCATTTCTTTTTGTGCAGAGTATGAAAATTGATACATACCTACAAATACAAAACACAATCTTACAAATTTGAATTTAAGGAAAAAAGTAAAAGTTACAAGAGAAAAAGAATATTAACCTTTAAATCTGGCAATTCAATTACGCAAGCACATTCAACAACTTCAGCTCCCGCCCGTTCTGAGAAATAACACTCTCAAGTCAAATAAATAAACCTAATTTGACAAAGAAAAATGCTTATTTTCAGCAAAGGTATATAATCTCAAGAAGAAATGGAGCATCAAACTTCCTACAGTTCCGAAAATTTAAACTAAATATGTTACAATCAAGCAATAAATCAGTTAATCAAGCCACAACAGTACAAAATTAATTTATGAGATATAGGAATAATCCAAGACCAAGATATTTTTATTTTTGACTCAAAGTGGTTGATATCCTTTAACGATAGAAATGAAGACTTCACCAAAAAGCTACATTATGCAGTTCAGTGACATCAGCAGCTGATATATACAAAGACGAATGCACACAGCTATGGACGCCTAAAACACAGTATGTTTGTTTCCTTTGCTGCAAGTTATGCATATGTTGTGTCTATGATTGCCCCCGATTAGAAAATGACATATTGTTGTGACATCCTTGGACATAATTGACATTTCTTCACACTTTAGAAAAACTATAGTAAATGCTATTAACTCAACTCAGATAATAAATAGCCTCACTAAATCGCATTTTGAGTTCCAAAAATATATTTACCATATGACATGTTTTATCAGATATTTTACAATTATCATGAAACGTGGACTGATTGCATTAATTAAATGTAGAAAACATCAATAGCAGACAACCTTAAATTACATGCAAAGTAGCGCATAAATAATTGCAGCAAGACAACTATAGTTTAGTTTACTTCATCAAGAGGCCAAACCTGTCAATATGGCGTGTACATTCCTGGGGTGCTATATTCTAAATGCAAAATGAGTATAGGACAACATATATGAATCCAACATGCATAAACGTCAGAAACTAAAAAACAAATGTCTTAACTTCTCATTAAGGCTGCAACTCAACCGTGTTGAGTGCGGCACAATCCAGCCAATAGTTAGGTACGACTTGTGTTTTAAACTCAGGGTTGTCTAAAGGTAGGCCCCAGGTACACCCTTGTTATCAACTACATAGAAATTTATAGTCATTTCCATACTTTTCTTTTTCTAACATTGAAACAAATCCAGGAACTCCCCATCTACAACTGGTTAAATAACTTTTTACTTTACATAAAAATAGTTGCAATCAAGTATATGGCTTATGCCAGGTAGATTCACTATGTAAATCATATACTTTATAGGAAAATTAATATACTTTAGTAACCCTCCCCCCTTGGCTCATAGGTTTTCTCGACTTTTCCGGATTGTTGTGAATGGAGATGCTGTGGTTGCCGACTATTATCGCCTTGATAATGGGAGGGTGACTTGGTATGTGCAGTTCTGTAGGCAGTTCCACGATTGGGAACTTATGGAGGTTATAGACTTCCTAGCGTTCATCTATAGCCAGGTGGTGGTTGGATTGGGCACGGACGAGATGGTGTGGGTGGGTACCTCGAGAAGGGTTTTTGAGGTAAAGTCCTTTTACCACAGTATGATGGAGCTTGCTGGCCCTGCCTTCCCTTGGAAAGCTATTTGGAGAACGAAAGATCCACTAAATGTGGCCTTTTTCTTGTGGACTGCTGCATTGGGAAGCATCCTTCTTGACAACCTTAGAAAGAGACGTCAGACTGTGGTTAAAGCATGTGCAAAGAGTCGGGTGAATCTGTCAATCATCTTCTTATTCATTGCTCGGTGGCAAGGGTTGCTTGGTCTATGTTTTTGGTTGCGTTTGGTCTTCCATGGGTTTTCCCAAAATCCACAGTCGCCTTGTTAGAGATTTGGAAAGGGTGTACAGTGGAGAGCCAAGTCATAGATGCTTGGAGGGCCACTTCCCTTTGTATTTGGTGGGGTTTGTGGTGCGAAAGGAATAGCAGATCTTTCGAGGGAGAGGAGTCCCCCATTTGGGCTCTTCGATACAATATTCTTACTTCTTTATTCTTTTGGGTTAATGGGCAGGATTGTAGTTCTATGGATTGTCTTTTGGATTTTGTTGATAGCTTAAAGCTATAGGGGCAGCCTGAACGGCTTTTGTTTTGTTGGGAGCACTCCCCTTTTGAGTTCTTTTATGAAATCATACTTATCAAAAAAAAAAAAAAAATAGAAGAATGTAGGAGTAAACAAAAAGTTTATCATGGTTCTTATAGACTTTGGAAAGACGTATGGTATGATAGAGTGCCAAAGGACATAATTCGATGGGATCTACAAAGAAAACAAGTTACTATAAAACTTATCAAACCTTATTCAGGATATGTATAATGAGACATTGACTACATGTGAAGAAACTAGTGATTTCTCTATAAAAGTAAGATTACATCAAGATCAGTGTTAAGTCCATATTTACTTACAATAGTGTCTGATGAGATAGCGAAAGATATCCAAGAAAACATTCCATAGATAGTGTTTTATTTAATACTTCCAAGGAAGCCTTAGCGACCAAGGTAGAAACATGGAGAAAGACTTTAGAAGTAAAATGCCTAAAAATTAGTTAAACTAAAACAAAATATATGGACAGTATATATATTACAATTCAAGACCAAAGAGTTACTCAACAACTACTTTTATTATTTAAGGTCAATATTACAAGAAGATGGGGAGATAGATGGTGATGTCCTAACTAGGATTAGAGTAGGGTGGACTAAATGGAGGCAAGCTAGTTGTATCCTATATGACAAATGAATATCAAATAAATTAAAAGGAAAATTACATTAGACAATTATTAGGCCAGCTACGTTGTACGGAGTAAAGTGTTGGGCGTTGAAAAAGAAACAACAACAAAGCATTCATGTAGTGGAAATGAGGATGCTACAATGGATGTTAGGAGTTGACAAAAAGAGATAAATTTAGTAATGAACAAGTAAGGGAACAATTAAAAATAGCATCTATTAGTGATAAAATTAGAGAACGTATACTTACGTGGTATGGTTTTTCACAACAAGATCCGAATATGCACCGATTAGAAGAGGAAGTGTTGTTTGCTTAGAAGGTAAGCGACAAAGAGACCGATCAAACTTACATGGGATGAAATAATTATAAATGACTTTAAAAAAGAGGAAACCATAGTGTATAATAGGAAAGAACGAAAAATGGAAATTCATGTGCCTGACCCCATTCATATGGGATGAAGGCAATGATGATGATGATGAAGTTGCAATCAAGCACAACCTCATAATTTTTTAGGAAAAATAATACATCCTTAAAACCCTAATTAACAACTTAAACTTTTTAAGCAGTTGGATGTTATAACATGGTGCCAGCTAAGCTAATGACACCTTCAATTGATGGCATAAATGCTCTTAAAGTACATTGATCAACCGGAACAATAACTGTGCATGGCAAATTTAATTGTTCCTCTAAAGTTCCAGAAAATCTAAACAACATGACCAAACCCAGGTAAAGCTAAACACCAAAAGTCTGACCTTCCTTTTCAATCATTGATCCCAAGTGTTAGTATAAGGCATGACCTAGTCTAGAATGCATTTTATCATGTTCAATAAGGATTTCAGACCCAATAAACAGGTGCTTCTTGTATTCAACATAACAGCTATATCTGACAAGGGATCACATTCCCATTTTCGTGTTATTGCGGGCCCTCCAAAAATATTCTTCTCCCTCAAACAGCCTAAAAATATTGGCATGAAGGCTCTAATTATCTGATAATAAATGACAATTATACAACTACACATCATTAAGCAAGTAAAAAAAAAATTAGTACCCAGTAAATTCATAGCCGCACAAAGAGTGCCACCAGTAGCAATCAAATCATCAACTACCAAAGCACGTTCACCAGCTACAACTGCACCAACATGCATCTCAAGACAATCTCTTCCATATTCCAAGATATACTCTTCCGAAATAACTTCACCTGTCATGATGGCAAAATTTGATTAAAAGGGAACTATTGAGAAGAATATCATCGGTAATGTTTCAAACTTTATATTCCAAAAACTATATAGTACAGATAAGACATGCACAAGGACTTATCAAATTGTCCATCGGATCTGTTTGGTCAAATGAAACAACAAAAGATAAAATACAAATAGCCCTGCAAAGGAACGAAAAAGTTCACCAATAGCTCAAGCTTATCTGAAGCTCGCTCAACCTCATTCATCAGTGTAGACAAGACTGGCTTCAACCTGATTTTTTAGCTCAATAATTAAACAAGCCACACTTGGCTTAGCTGGTGTGCATTAGAAATAAGTTAATAACATAAAAGTTATTTCCGCACATTTGTTACCATAAACAATGCTACAAGACAGCACTTCTATTTAAATCTTCATCCACTACCAATGTATGAGAATGAATTGAGAAAATGAAATAGGATGTGAGGCCAAATCCAAAGAACAACAAAAAGAAATTATAATAAATATTATAAAACATAATTGCAAAGAGAATGGAGTGTCTGGATGGGAATTAAGAAATTGAATCAGCATGATATTTACAACTCATTATTATGAAGAGTGGACCTTAGAAAAGGTAGAAATATGCATGTAATTATAACTTGTTATATCATGAAGGTTATTAAAAAAAAAATTCCTTTTCGTGAATAACCTATCAAAATTATTAACTATGCATGCCTACTGGTGAAATTTTCCCTCACCCAGTTACACTGTCCACATCTACACAATGAAGGATCTAAATGTCGTATCAAAATTGTGACGCTGTCACAGAGAACTGGAACAGAACCGAGTTAGATTATATCCAAAGATACAGGGCTTAAAAAAGACTACATAAATTCCGAAAGATTAAATTAACAAAGTAACATAACAAAAGTGTAAAATAAACAAAATATAGCATCTACAAATGTTGTTGAAAAAATTAAAACAGATTTTACCGTATTTGTCTATTACATATTACGTAATAATCATAACATAGTTTTTTTCATTGGATTTATTCTTTATCCATACCATAGATCCAATGACATTTAATAATTTTAAAATATTATTTAAAAAATTGCAAAAAAATTAAAAAATTTCAAGGATAGTCATAGATATGGGACATATGTGCATAATCATATTCATTAACTTCAATGTTGCAAGACATCGTGGCAACTCTGGGATAACTCGTACTAAGGTCATGTAAGATACCCACAATGTATTGGCCAATAATTACTTTCTTTTTTTTTTTTCACTGCACAATTCTTACCCGGACGGCATCATCTCAGATGTTGCAATGGGTCTCGTCAACCGAAAGCACCGATACTGAGGTGATTAGGGTTAATCAATTTATTCACAAGCTATATTTCAAACCTTGCAAATAATCTAAACATAGATGCATTTTTAACAAAACAAATTTTCATTATAAAGAGGTTCGGAATACAAAAATTACCATATAAATCTCAACTCCCTGCTTGAAACCACTATTAACTGCACTATCTTGTATAATTAACGCCCAACTACATATCACAAGTAAATCATTCAAAGCAAAGCACAGTCTCAAGAACAAGATCGAAACCAGTGTTTGAGCAAGGGCAGTTAGTGGGTAGCAGTTAGTAATTGGATACAGTCGGTATTATATGTCAGAAGTACCCTCACAAAAGAACACCTGATGAAAAGTATCTTTCCAAAGGTCCCCAGTACGAGTTCAGTTATCAGTAAAGATTAGCATCAAAATTGATTAATGCATGACATGACCACTTAGTTGAGTATGCAAGCATGTGATAAAAATTGACGATGATGCGAGAACAGATTTGTTTCTAAAACAACTGAAAACAGAGCAATCCAATGGAATGAAAAAGCATTACCAACAACCCAATAGTGCATGAAACAAATGGTCATGAATATTTTATGAATGGTAACAAAGGTAGAAATATACATGTAACTGTAACTTCTGAAAAACATATATATATATATATATATATACATGTAACTCTGCCATTATGAATAAGCAATTGCAACAGAAGAATGAATTACCAGGTAACTTCTTCGGTTTTCGCAAGGGGACAAACTTTGCTCCTATTGCCAATGCAATGGGTGGACCAAATATAAAACCCCGAGCCTCTATTCCTGGCAATACAAATGCAACTTTATCATGAGAACTAAATGCATGGAATGACTTCTTGAGTCTAGTTCAACAAGATGCCAATTTTTATTTTGTTGCTTGGTAGTTTAATTATACATATACCTATGTGAGTGTAACACCACATCAAAAATCCAAGTAGCCAACTCTAAATCATCAATCAGTAGGATGAGTTATATCATAAATTGACTCCCTGATCTATGCATACATGCATATACATATCGATAACCATATATATTCTTATTTAGAAATCAGAACAGAACTTTTCACCATTGCCCATCAGTTTGGTATTTCACGGCTTGAAATTTCTCCACAAATACACTAACATCTAGTTATGTACACAAGCTATTCACGTACTCAACCCTCTAGCTCAACCAAACAAGGAGTAAAAGCTTTTTGCATAAATTGAAATTGTTCCTTGTAACATTTCTTTGGAAGCACCACGGAGGATATTTCTTGCAGATAAGGGTCCATAGCACAACATTTAAAATTTAAATACTGAAATTGGCACGAAGATCTCTAGTAAGTCTCAAAATCAGACCCAGAAAGGTACAGTCTCCCCTAATTGGACTTTATTCGAGAAAAAAGGAAAAAAAGAAAAAGTAGACAGTTTGCACATGTAAGTTAAAAACTGAAATGTAAAGAAAGAAAACAAAAGGAAGAAGAAGCTAAAATGAAAAACCATATTGTAGAGTAATCTTGCATACAGCAAGAAAATCCATACTTCATTTGAAAGACAAAAAATAATCAGTAAACACCGCATGGAAAGCAAACCACACTAACTAAGACTAGTCAATGAATCTTTGAGATACGTAGTATTTAAAAACTAACACTTGCGATTTGAGAAAGGACATAGGAACAGAAGGGGAATGGAAAATAACAGCAACAAAGCTCAACATACTATGTTGGATATGATGGTTCCAACCCTAAAGACCCCGCATGTTGGTATGCTCAATGCAGTCTCGCATTGCCACCTATTGTATGAGCTATCTAATGAGCGAAAACATATTCATACATTAAACTAATTCACAAGATAAGATCAACTTGAATGACAACTAACAATCTCACGGTGATCCATATACACTTTTTGGGAAAATATAGTAACTTTTCCATACAAAAATTATACTTTGCGAGCAAAGATTCTGAATGGATATAAAAATTTCATCTTTCATGAGCATAAGACAGAAATATCCACGTACTACGCAGAGAGACAAATTCTAGTTGACAGCAATGATAACAAAGTAAGAATTTGATAATATATTCAACCAAACTATTTTTCTTTTAAATTAATCAAAATGGAAGTTTCCACTAAGGGTCCAACCACTAAAAGAGATCATGAAAGTGATTCAACTTTCCACAAGTTCATAGTACTACTGTTAGTAGCTTTACAGTATACAGAGGTAGGGTGAGATATAAAACACCGTGTTCATCTCATCAACAAATAAATCAAACAAAATGAGATGCCTTGGGGTATAAAATTGAATTAGGTTATGCTTTACATTTACTTTCTAAATATATGACCATAATTCTATTAATTTCTCCACCTTAAAAAGTTACTTGTAATAGTCTTTAATTTTAGTTTCATTTGAAGAAAATACAAGAAATTTTGGAAACTCACTATTCACTGGTTCTATCACAAGATATCAATAAAGTTCCAACAAATTGAACAAACCAATATGCACTGTTTATCAAATGATTTAGAAAATAGCGAAAAGGACAAAACCCCAGTGAAAGAAGTGGAGCCTGGACCTCACAATATAATCTTTCCGGCAATAATTGATGATTTGAAAAAAGAAATATATATCAAATGGCATTCAAATATATAAACAAAAGACAATGCATATACGAGGAAAAGAGAATAAATTGAGGCTCATAATAAACACATCCAACAGTGAAATGTTGAAGGAAACCCACAATATAATGCAGCCAAATATCGGCCCAATATAAAACCGTCATCACGCAAGTGGGTCCAACTTTTTTCAAAAAATGCGAGCATCCATCACCAACCACCATAGGCTCAAATCGGATCGGAGCACATGACACAGCAACACCTCTGAACCGCTCATAATATCACACAAAGTAATCAATAACACACGCCACTAGCAACCTCTATAGTCAATCTCAAAATCACTCCAAACCTCCTTTCAATTCTAAAATGTCCCTTAAAAGCACTCAAATATTTAACCAAACCTTTGAATATATATATATATATATATATATATATATATATATATGTATGTACATGTTGTATGTATGTATTGTATACCTGCAACTACTGATATGTTTTTGCCTTTGTACCGCTCGACGAACAAATCGATCGTGTCTTTGAAGGCCTCTGGATCGAGTAACAATGTAGTGATGTCTTGAAACATTATTCCTGTTATTATTCCATTGATAATCATTATTTAGTGATTGGTAAAAACGATTAAACACAAAAATGAGGTGTGTTTGTGAGATTAAACGAATTTATATATATTCACACACATATAGAGAGAGACTGTGTATGTACCTTGCTTGGGGAAGTTAGGGACAACACGGATTTTAGATTTGATGCCATGAATTCGAGGATCATCGTCTCTAGATACCGACATTGTGGATGTAACAGAGTTCTCACTTCTCAATCTCTCTCTCTCTATATATATATAGGAATGCTCTATGTATACGAAGAGAAAATTAATTGTGATGTGTAAGAGAATCTGTAGAGAAAGGAAGAGATTATAGAGAGATAAAGGAGGGGAGGTAAAGGGACAGAGAGAGAGAGAGAGAGAGAGAGAGAACAGGGAAGGGAAGGAAGGTAAGGTTATTTATAAGAAGGTTGAGGAGTTTAATTTAGAGAGAGAGAGAGAGAGAGAGAGAGAGAGTAGGTGAGGACTGAGGAGAGGGAGAGGGAGGCACTCTGCACAAGAATGAGGGAGAGCGCGAAAAGCAGTCTCTCCTCGATATGTATATGGACTGTGTATATATATTTTGTTGGATAAGACTTTTAAGACTGTTTTTTCTTTTCTTGGTTTTTTCCCTTGCTTGTAATGTAAAAAATAATGCTTTTAATTATTTATTTATTTATTATTATTATTATATTTATTTTTGACAACAAACACATTTGCTCCCGTGTATATCTCAACTAAACAAAAAAAAAAATCTTATTAATCTTATTATTCTCCCCCCTTCTTACATAATTTTTTGAGTCCGTCTCTAAATACGCATAAGTGCTTAAACAAATTAAAATCAATTCACACAAGAAAAAAATACAAAATTTGTAGGTGTATTTGAGAATATTTAAAATTAAAAACATCTAAAATGATTTTTGGAGAGAGTTGAACCCTTTGATTTTGAAAGGAAGGTATATATTTGATTAGGCTACATGCCCTTCTCATGTGTGGCAAATTATTGTTTCTAATATGTTTAATTCCCTGATTAATGTGATTCAAAGTCCATCTTATGCCTGATATGACCTTTTTACTCAATAATATTATACAGTATTCCCTACCAATATTATATTCTCACTTTTTAAAGGTCATTTGTTAGTGATGTACCCTACTAACATCTCCTTTTTAATAATATTATTCTTTTCTTTTTCTCTTTTATTGTTTTCATTGGCACAATTCATTGTCTGTTGTCACCTATTGTACTTTCAGACAAGTGTAGTGGCATTGATAAAAGGTTATATAAACCAGGAATAAATAAAGAACAAAAGGTTATATAAACAAGCACTGAGACCTTTGGCTCTTTGCAAATAATAACACTTGATATTATCATTATTACAGGAATGATGGCTTAATTCACTTATGAAAACCAGACAAAAAAATGCATATACACTCACATACTTATCTGGTATATAATAATTTTCGTTTTTTTTTTCACCACATTTTGAAAAGTTAATTGTTACCGTCACAACAAATACATACGTTTGTGTCAAATGTACAATATTATTGCCAATTAGTACATCATGTCAAGCTTATTACCGATATATAAACATATTGCAAACATGGCTAACACAAATATACGGAATCCCTTTGTCCTACATGCACCAGATCTCGCCGGTCTTTCACCTTTTGACTCTTTATCACTAGACAAATTCACAATTATGAAAGAAATAACATTGTGTTATATCATCAATATATTTTCATTTTATCACACTCATGATACGAAATTAAGATTTGATAATAAAAATTTAAGATGTATATTCCATTAACATTGGACTCATGCCAATAAATAGCCACACAATTATCATAAGCAACTCAACAATTGTATAATCCTACCATGAAATATCAATATCTTATTCTAATTCTTGTTATTGTTGAAATAATTCGTTGACAATTCAAATATCGCCATTATTTTTGTCAAAGAAAGTTAGTTATCTAAGGAATTGGAACTTTGAATAAACTTGTTTCAAGTTAAAATGTCTAGTTAGCTAATAAAAATGGTCACGGTTAAGCCAGAATGGTTTATACGTTGCTCCTAAACATGACAACATAAGGCCAACATACGTTCATGGCAAATTGTAAATAAATAAATAAATAAAAATTTTGAATGCCACTTTTTATATAAATATGGAAAATGTACATATTTCACAAATCAAATGAGAATTTTCTGTCTCTGTGAATTGGCATCTAATATGCTTAAATGTAGAAGTCAAGTCCAAGACTCAAAATAAAAGGTTGCTAATTACAGATATTTGACAAAATGACTATATGCGTCTCCTAAGTCATATGAATTGCTTTCAGATCTTTATAGCAAATATTTTCTGACCAATTCTCTCCCCCTTTATTTCTAATAACAGATAGATATCTTTATGTCTTGCATTCAAACACTTTCAGCGACCGCAACTACCTGCCTAACTCGTGCTATATATATAGACAAAAATGTAATGGCAAATTCACACAAAGGTTTGACTATAGACGAGCATACGTTGACATTTTTGTTTCTGTGAGAGAAACAAAGAGAGGGAGGTTGGTAGGACCACAGAAATTCAATTAAAAATTGAGATTCAATAAAATTACGGAAAAATATTTAATGTGCCTGGTGTGCATCAGATTACCATAATTGTTCATATTTTTGCTTGTTATGCACACGCCACACGTACACGACACGAACAACTGTAATGAGTCTGGTGTATGTTACCATCTTTGCCAAGGGTAAAGAAATTAAACAAAGTAAATTTAAGTACTTATAGATGCATGAGTAATAAGAGGTAGAGAAGTTTGTATAGAATGTAAGAAATGGATAGAGTGACCAAAATGAATAAAATTATCAGAAATGAGTTTAACAAAGTAAATAAAGGTGGAAAGACTTGTAATAGGAAAAAAACAAATGGAGAAAGATAATTCAGGTGACGTCATTGGTATTAAGGTGGTTAATGATGATAATGAAATATGCGAATGTTCATTTCATTTTCTTTGTACCCAAAATTCAAATACCATTAAAAGGCTAGATTTTTGTAAGATTAAGTTAAATCACTATGGTCTCTATGTTTACCTATTTGAAGCAACACTAATTCAAGATGAATTTGATTAAGATAATTTGGACATATAAAAAAAAAAATTAAATACTACAACCATGAAAAGTGACATAGTTCATGCAGAGAAAAGATCAAAATTAATATGAGTACAATTAGTAAGGAATAATATGTTAATATGTGATCTGAGTGGCGGCTGTGGTCAATTTGATAAAGTGAAATAAAAAAAATAAGATTCACGTAACCAACTCCAAATTAATTAAAAAAAAAAAAAAAGAAAAAGAAAAAGAAAAAGAAAAAAGAAAGAAGAAGAAGAAGATGTTGAATTAATTAACTTATTAAATTACACAAACCTCTCCTAATGCTCAAGAAACCAACGGGCTACAAACACTCTACCAACATAAATGAATCACCTTTTTTTATTGTATTGTAGCTTCATTTTGCTTTTTGTGAAATGTTTGCCGCCGTGGTTATACCACGTCAACGATATAATTTCTCATGCAAAAGAGAATGGTTCCACCTGAATTCAAGTAAACTAAAAGGCAACAAATTAGAGATGCACACAATTCAGGTAGGTCCGATTCTAAGATGAATCAAAATATCCCAACATTCTAGAAATATTAAAACTGAATTGTTAAAACCAATGGAATCAAAACGAAAATAATTGATTCGGTTCATTTCTACAATTTTAAACTTCTATATATATATATACCAAAATATATACATATATTCTTATTAATCAAATGGAGAACCAAAATCTGAAATACATATATCATCATCTTATGTATTATGGCACACGATAAGTTTATTTAATTAGTTTTTGGAGGCAAAGAAAGGATATACATTGATAAAATTAGAACATATAATCCTAAATAACAACATTGCTTAGCCATTGCAGAATTGCATGAACAATAACACTTCTAGCGCTGGCCCAATAAAAATTGAACTATTTATTTATTATAATAAGGTTAAGTTGCTAAAATCTCATGTACATACGAAATGTGCAGAACTCCCCTACATTTTTCAAATTGAGCAAATAAGAAATTTTTTTAAACCTGAAGATTGAAATACCTAAAATGTCATTAAAGCATAAAAAAATAAAAAAATAAAATTATATGCACAAATTCTATTAAGGTTGTGTTCCGATGCATGTAATTGAAGCTTTGGAATTTAAATTAGAAAAAAAATTTATCCAAATTTTTGAGTTAGTTTTCTCCAATTCCACAAATTTTAATTCTAAAATTTCAATTCCATACAACCGAACATAACTTTAGGGTATTTTGTGATTTTTATAACAAAAAAAAATTGATTAAAATTGACAACCAGGAGTCAATTTAATTGTTACAAATTTTCAAATTATGGAATTTATATGAACATGCTAGGAGGCAATTTATATGCACAATTTTTTTTCCCTACCAAATTAGGGGAGGTCCGAGAAACTTGAACACAAGCATAACTGCTTAAGGAGCTAAGCATTCTACCAACTAGATCACTGACTGCTCACATGCACATATTTATATAGTAAGGCTGTTTCTTACACAATTTTTTATGTGGCGGTTTTATTTTTTATTTTTTGCTTATTATAATATACATGTGTTTGTAATTAATTTTAACTTTAATTAACCAAACATGTAGAGATATATATATATATATTGTACATAAAATATTTATGTCCAAGTTTGCTAATCACTATTTTTTTAACACTTGTGAATTGTGACTCAAATTGAACAAGATAGAGGTGTACTTAGGGGTGACAATTCATGTTTGCGAATCATAATTATGTCACGTCGATTTAAGGATATTCTACTGAACAAGTAAACCTAAACATGACCGCTTAACAATTGTGGCAGAACCTCCAACACTAACCCGACCCGTTTATCAAACGGATTACAACTGTTAACTTATTTAATGACCTATTTAATGAAACAAGATATTTAATACTTCATCAATCCATAAATACTAAAAAAACAATATGTCTCAATTAACCCGTAATCAAACACCCTATAATCAAGTAAATAAAATACAAATATATAAGTAAAAATTATGAGACCTATTAAGAATTTATGTTGAAATGACATAATTATTCATAATAATTGAGTCTACACATATAATATGTTACTCATGTTATACTGACGATTATGACATGTTGAGTTAAATGTGTATAAATAGGTTATACGGGTTGAATCATTCAACTCTAATTCAACACGATTAAGTAAATGGGTTAATCATATCAACTTATTTATGACCCAAACTTATTTAAGGTCAACTAGGGGCGAAACTAGTTAATGCCTAGGAGGTCTTGCCTATTATATATATACTAAATTTATTTTGTTTTCCATGTACATATGAAAATATTCATATAATGCACCCCTAACATTTTTTATTTTCTAAAATTTTTTCTTGTAAGTTTTTATTATTATTTTTTTTCTCGTTTACTCTTTAAATTTGTTTGATTTTCTTATAAAAAAGTTAAATTTTATTTTTTGAAATCAATTCTAAA